TCTCTCTGTCTCTCATGAATAAATAAATAAAATCTTTAAAAAAAAAAAGTCAAGTTGTAGTTGCTGAAAAAAACTGAAAGCTAAAAAACGGACTCTAACCTTTTATAAATGGATAAAAGGAATTAAGAAATTTAATATAATCAAGTTGGTATGCAGGACATAAACTGACAGACTTAAGCGTTACCTAAAACCACCATCAAATCCTTCTGTAAGCATTATTTCCAAAGTATCTGAGTGAACACAATACTCAGTTAATGAAAAGCATTGCTTAATGGGGATTGTTTTTCTTGTTCCAATCACTCAAAACTTGTAATCTCAAGGGCTCCTGGGTGGCTCTGTCGGTGGAACATCTGCCTTTGCCTGAGGTCATGATCCCAGGGTCCTGGGATTGAGCCCCACGTTGGGCTCCCTGCTAAGCGGGGAGTCTGCTTCTCCCGGAGTCTCCCTCTGCCCCTCCCCCTGCTTATGCTCTCTGGCTCTCTCTCTCAATACATAAAATCTTTTAAAACAAACAAACAAAAAAACCTGTAATCTCAAACATGCTAATGATTCTATAGTTTTCATCACAATCTTCACCAAGAATCTAAAAACAAATGCTCAGAGATACTTTATCTTCGCTTAGAATCATATTCAGAAGAAGCATGCATTTTTAACCTACTTAACCTTTTTAAGCTATTAATGGAAGATTCCCCAAGCCCACATTTCTCTACTTTGCTATCTTTGAACCAACGATCCCAAGTTGTTCAAAAAAAGAGAAGGTCACTTACATGACTAGCAGCATTTCTTAAAGAAGCAATAGTATTTTCTTGAACTTTAGCAAGCCTGAAAGAGAAGAAATATATAGAAATACAGTTATCATCCACTATAGACAAGATAAAGAAAACAAATGTAATAAAGCCAAGTGGGGTGCCTGGATGGCTCAGTCGTTAAGCATCTGACTTAGGTTCAGGTCAGGATCTCAGGGTCCTGGGATGGAGCCCTGCTGACATCAGGCTCTGTGCATGGGGGGAGTCTGCTTGTCCCTCTTCCTCTCAAATAAATAAATAAAATCTTTAAAAAAAAAAAGCCAACTATATCTTTAACAATGGAAACAGTTCAATATTCTCTATGCTGAAGCTCCTTCTGCCATCCCCAAATTAAGACTGTGACCATCACTTGGTGGGTATATGCATTTATTCCATAAATGCAAGCTCTAATGACTGCAGGTACTTATAAACTGAATATAAACTTATCCCACACCCACACATACCTCCCCAAGTGAGGTGACCACTCAAGGAAAACAATCTTTTGCAGTGGCATAAAGTAGAAGAGACACAGAGACTTGCCCCTTGCAATGGTGCCTCAGAGCACTTAATCCTGGCCGACCGGGGGAATGGGAAAAGGCTGACACCCAGCAGGTCGGCAGCATGGAAATGATACCAAGAACGGGTGAGGAAACCGAGACCCAGAGAGGGAAGCATGCCAAAGGTTGGGACCACAACACACACTGAGATTCAGGCTGCTTCCTGCATCAAGCTTTTCCTCGGCCTTCTCTTTTTAATGTCCCTCTTGGCATCAGAGTTCGGTAGATATTAGAGACACTGACCAGACAGAGTCTTACGAGTGAGTTAGTCTCTACTTAATTTAAATTACATTAAATCCCAGGTAATAAAGGGATCCTTTGACCTTTAGTGGGCCAAACCAACGGAACCTTATCATGCGCAAGCTACCAAATGCTAAATACCGCTCAAATATTCAACCTACTGAGCAGTTGTTGTAGAATTCCCTGCACCTCGATGTCCAACATCCAATGGTGTTCTCGGCTTCCAATACTTGGAAAATGAAGATTTCATGTCACAACTGTATCCTGGTAATGGCTTAATAATTATATAGTCAACTTCCATAGAAAAAAAGGGGGCAGAAATAAAGATAAAGCTGATTAAAAAGGCCACGATGAGCATTTAAATGGTATTTACGTTTAAATATCCCTCGAATCAACTTTATCAATCTCTATTAAATAGAAAACAAGTCAAAACTGATTCACAGTAAAGCTTCCAGAAAATTTCACAGATGTCCCTTATTGCTATTGTAGTAGTTAATATTCCAAAAACAAATTATTAACTTAACGCCATTCTCAAAAACTCAATTTGAAGCTAACTAAAATTCGAACCTAACCTTTGCTCATTTATAAAGGGCCCTTCTGTTTCTCCCAGCTTACCTCTCACTTTGCCTATTGTTTTTCTGGAATTTCTGCTCATGATGGGAAGAGTAAGAATTCCAGCACTCTTCCCACTCTCGGCAATGGTGGATGATAAGAGGCACGCTGTCCCTACATGTCCAGGAAGGGCATCACCCTGAACTACATGTTCACTGAGATCTTCCTGAAATAAAAAATGAGGTTTAAAATAATCCACATTCTTACACTTCAGTATTTCCCATTTAAAGATCAAAAAACTCCCTTAAAATTAATTCAGAATCTATTGAGGAAGATCAATAATAAATAGGAATCAAATTTATATTCAGGTAATTTAGATAAGACTCTTTGTAAAATAAATGATACATTTTCTTTTAGTATATAATATTTTAAGATTTTATATGGTACTTTATTAGTCATAATTCTGTTGATTGGCACTTCTGATCTTTTAACATGTATCAGATGAATTTAAAACACTGACAAAGTGTCTAAGTCTCTTCATATTCAAAGACTAAAATACACCTGTAGTGAGCTGTTAATGTGTATTATATTCTCTAAAAACGAATTACCACAGAGAACATAAAGGGATAATTAACTCTCTAGGAAACTGAATACTCATTTGGAGATTACACTGGATATTTTATCAGCCTAGTCTATGAATAAAATAGTATTTCCAAAACTGCTAAACAAATGAAAAGCAAGTTAGGACGTTTAAGAGAGTATTAAAAGATAGGTCCTTAAGAAATAAGGAAACATTCAACCAAAACCTCACATTTTTACAATAAAGTCTCACAGATCTTATTACTTGGGTAAGATTGAATTACAGGTTTTTTAAAAATAAAATTCTTTATTATAGCTTTTTGAAAGGAAACACTTTAAATTTCATACAATGCAAAAAGCTTTTTCATACAAAAAGCCAGTTGCAAAGGCGATGCATAAAGGCATCATCAAATTAAATAATTCAAAGACTATAATGATTTTAACAAGTGTAACAAACGTTACTTGTGGGTTTAAATCCATCCTGTATTCTGCTATTTTCACAAAACTGTGGCTAGGTCTCTCGTCTAATGGAAATGGGAGTGGAAGTGCCAAAGAGCCAGAGCCTAAGGAAAGCAGTACACAGAACCACTACCTGGGCACAGTAAAGCGAGGACCTTAGCCAAGGACCCAGGCTGACTTATGAAGACGAGAACCCCTGAACGCCCCAAGCCAGAGGGCTCTCATGTTGAGTCGCGGGAGCTCTGGAAAGCTGGTAGCAGATTCTGAACAACCTGGCACAATCTTCATAGCAACTCTTTTTGGCTACATATTTATACTATCAAGCAAAGTTGTAAAAATGAGTCCGCTGTTAGGAATTCTTATTATAAAAATGCCTCAATAAACCACAGACTTCAGTCATGAGGAGGACTCAATCATGTTAGTTACACTGGGCGGCCCATCAAGAGTCATACGTCCACTCGTCCCTCTATTCTTGGAGGCTCCTTTGGATATTATTCATTTATATTTAGAATAGGCACAGGGACACCTGGCTGGCTCAGTCGATCACGCAACTCTTGATCTCGAGGTTGTGAGTACAAGCCCCACGTTGGTTTCAAAAAAAAAAAAAAAAGAACAGGCACAGATATTAAGACATCTGGTCTTGCTGTAAAACATCAATTCAGCTGAATTTTTTTTATAGTACTTGAGTCTATCAACTCCAGGTTTTTTAAGCCTGCTAAAATGTATAGACAAACATCTGAAAGGATGTATGAATCATGGGTTTACACTCAGACTAAAATAAAAATCAAAACATATAAAAATAAACCCATGCCTGCACTCTTTCTCAACTCCCTCTGTGAAATAATTACTCACCTCAAAAAAATCAAATATTAGTTCCAGGTTATCTGGTTCCATTGTCTGTATGCTGTATTCTGTCCAACGATCGGGCTGCAAGCCATACCCACACTCTGGCTGTGAATGCCTGCACTTGAACTCATTGTCACTTATTAAGGATATCTCTAGGCTGTTGGACATTTTGTGAAGAACAGTGGGAGATACCCTATCATCATCATCTTCTTCCAAGCCCTCTAGTGTCAGCTTTACCCTACACAAATGGAAAAAATAATGAAATGCAAAAAAATGGAAAAGGAAAACTTATACAAGTGTTACCTAAATGCCAACTTTAAAAAGTGCTCCCTGAATATGCTAATCCTTCAAGTAACAAAAATACGGTATTATACAAGACTACACATACTACTGGTTAAGGCATTAGTGTGTTTTATAATATACTGATGTTTTTATCTACATATACTTCTGCAAGGAATTAAAACAAGATAAATGCTCATTATGCCTAAGGTTGTTTTCAGTAACTCTTTTTCTATAGAACCATTACTATTATCTCATTTGTAACTGGCTATCTCAACTTCTTTTGAAAAGTCTCACAAAAGAATATATGTATAAAACAAGCACCAAACTGAATCATATTCTGTTAGTGTACATAAAAAGACTATAGAGTTGGAGGCTGTAAATTAAAAATTTTCACCTTTCTTCTACCTTACCACAGTGAGTCCAGGTATTCTGTGAAAAGTACATTATTAAAAAAAGATATACTGCATTAAATGTTTATTTGTATGCATGCACACTTTTTACATGTGTGTATGTATTTACATAGAAGTACTTTTTAAATGAAACAAACAGGGCACCTGGGTGGCTTAGTCAGTTAAGCGTCTACCTTCAGTTCAGGTCATGATGTCAGGGTCCTGGTTTCGAGCCCCACATGGGGCTCCCTGCCCCTCCACCCGGCTCGTGCTCTCTCTCTTTCTTGCTCTCTCTCTCAAAGAAATAAATAAAATCTTTAAAAAATAAAAGAAATTTAAAAAAAAAGAATAGTTCTGGATAACTGATTCTATTAGTGAATCTGAAGGAACATTCTCTACCAGGATATATGAAGAGAGATCACATTTGGACAGTAATAAATAAGCAATAAGGCACAAAGATAAAAATAACTATTCTGCTAACAGCAATGTGCATTTACCAAAAAAAAAAAAAATTCAAGTTTAAAGGGATTTATCAACAAATTTTAGTCATTTAAGTTAAAGGTTTTCTTCAAATAGCTCTATAGTGGTTATAATCTGTCTTTCCACTTATTGATAGAGTCGACTGAAGGAGAAACTTGCTTAAAACTTGGTGATAATTAAAAAAACCAACAAACTTGCTGGTTCTTTCTCATTAGAAAGAACAGCATGTTTAATATTTTATTTAAATGCATAAGCTGGGGGCACCTGGGTGGCTCAGTTGTAAGCATCTGCCTTCGGCTCAGGTCATGATCCCAGGGTCCTGGGATCAAGCCCTGCATCGGGCTCCCTGCTCAGCAGGAAGCCTGCTTCTCCCTCTCCCACTCCCCCTTGCTTATATTCCCTCTCTCGCTGTCTCTCTCTCTCTCTGTCAAAAAAAATAAATAAAATCTTTAAAAAATAAATAAAATGCATAAGCTGTTGCTAAGTTTTTAAAGTCCTGATATTCTTGCAGATCAATTTATTTCCTACCTCATGGAGGTTTAGTTTATCACTAAATACAAATTTGGGGGGGAAAGGTGGTCAGAACACAAATTTCTAGTTACACACAATTTTTTAATAGTTTATATTACTATTATATATATTTTTTAGTAATCTCTACACCCAACACTGGGCTCAAATTCACGACCCTGAGATCAAGAGTCACATACTCTTCAGACTGAGCCAGCCAGGTACCCCATACACAATTATTTCAATAGCAATCAGTTACTTATTGTAGAGTCCACCAAAGTTTGGTTATACAAAAATATTCCAATTTAAACCTGATTAACACAATAATATATACTAACACTCAAAATAACTTCTATATAAACAAGAATGGTATAGGACTCAGTATGCATTTGCAATCAGAAATTTGCAAGCAGAACCCAACCATTAATTATCTATTAATTTCTTAACTAAAGTCAAGAAAGAAAAAAATCCTCATAAGCCTAACCAACCATCTGGTTTATCTTTATCTTCTACAGTCATCCTTATTTTAAGGTCTTACTCTTTTTCTTTTTTTTTTTTTAAGATTTTATTTATTTGACAGAGAGAGAGAGAGCACAAGCAGGGGGATCAGCAAAGGGAGAGGGATAAGCAGGCTCCCCGCTGAGCAGGGACCACAACCCAAGTGGAAGGCACGCGCCCAACCATCTGAGCCACCCAGGCACCCCTCAAGTTCTTATTCTAAGACACTTTATAGCTGTAACACAATTTGTTTCTTTTCACATGTAAATAAGATTCAGTTATGTTAAACACACTCCACCCCAAGCGCAGAGCCAAATCTCACCACCATGAGATCAGTACATGAGCCAAACTCAAGAGGCTTGACTGAGCCACCCAGTCTGCCCCTCCCCCGCCCCC